TTCTAGCACCTGGGGGAAGCTGGGTGTGCTGGTGGGTTGGTTCTTGTATTTTCCTTCAAACTGTAGCCCTTGTAGCGTTTCTCAAGTTTTGTTTCTGATTAAACATCACAATGTGAAGGAGAGAAGTCTGGTTTGGGTCTAACAGAAATATTTATTCAGGTGATAAATATCCACCTCCACCATTAAACATAAGCTCTTTGGTGCACCTTGGATTCAAATGTTTCTCCTGGTAAAACATCCTCTTTTCAGTGTCTTTCTTCCTTCTGTTCAGTGGCGAGACTACATCTAATCCTCTTAAGAGGATAAAGCAACAGAGCTATAAATTCAGGGAGAAGAGCAACACACTCATGCAAACTATTATTACTTACTTACCTGACCAATGCTGAACTGTTGTTCTAGGACACAATCACTGGGTCAGCTTTACAGGTGGAATGAAACTCATTTAATCCACTCCACACACCACGTTAATACTCTTAAACTAAATGAAGAGACACAACAAAATCTTCTGTCATAATACAGGATACTTTAATTCCCACACTAAACAGAAAATCGAAATAAAATCCCTGTTCTTCTTTACTCCAAGGAGAGTCCTCTTTTGGAAAAGAATGATTAGAAAGAAAAATTCCTCTAAATAACTCTGGAACACCTAGGACAGACTAGAGTTTTGAGTCTACGCCATGGGAATAAAGGAAATAGGTAGCATTGCCTGAACAGCTCTTGTTATTATTTAGCAATCTAGCTTTCTACACATCAAGAAATTCTTTGGCCTTCACTCCTCTAAGCTGATGAAATGGAAGTTCAGCATGTCGTAGCAGAAGTTGGGTATTAGGAGACTTAAGAGATACAGCTGGGAAGACAGGAGGTGAAAGATACGAATGTGTCTGTCTTCCAAATTTAAGGCTGTCCCTAGTGCAGTTCACTTTCCTCCCAGTGAGGATTGCCTTTTCCAGGGCTCCTCAAAATATCGTCTGCATCAGAGAGTGCCTGTTGTCACAGACAGACATATCATACCAAGCATGGCAACCCAAGGCTTAACATACAGCTGCAAATTAAGTTTCATTTTCACAGTTGGAATGAAGATCCTTGTGGCATTAGTAAATCAATCCACCCTTGGATAAGGGCTTCAAACAGCTGCATTATTTACGATGGTTTCACTTTTATTTACAGTAAGACTATCTGCATCTACTGATGCTGTAAACGTCTTAACAGTTCCTTAGATAGGGGACCTTTAGGGCAGGTAAAAAGGAATACGTATGAATGGCTTCTGTTCCGCATAGCTAAGAGAAACCAGTACTGTCCTTTACCCAAACACAAATTAACATACTGGAGGAGTAGGAGAAGCAGCATCAAGAATTGCATTGTCCTGGTTTTGAAAACACTTGCCTGGCAGGATTCAGGGCAAATTCTCATCTCATTATCTTCAAAAACCCAATTAACAAGCCATCCTATAAGGAAAAGCTCTGACGCAGAAAAATGGCAGTTACTTGTCTTTTTTATCTTTTGCACTCAAATACAGTTTTGCTTTCCTTGCCCTATTTAAGCAAGAGAAGTACATTAATGAAGAAAAAAAAAATACTGAAAAAGCTACATGGGATTGCCTAGTAATAGTCCCAGCTACCCAAATATGCTTTGACTTCTCCTTATTCAAAGGAGGAATTACTGATGTCCAGAAAGGAAAAATGAGGGAAGGCAGACTGCCTTCGTGTCAGATGCTAGTGCATCCGACACCAAAAACATCATTACCAATTCAGCGAGGTACTTGAGCCCGAAATCATGGTTAAAAGCAAGAACTTCTGTTACAATATTCTGTTACAGAAAAAGGTAAAAAAAAGTAACTGCTTGTGATGGGTATGAGAATTCCCTCGGTCTTCCCATCTGCCCAGATGTGGCCATGCTGTGAGTATTCAGAGTTCCCCAGCAGAACTGTGCTATGCCAGCTGCATGCTTGGCACAGATGCTCAGTTCAGGGAGAAAAACAAGGCTTTTGTATTTTTGTGATGACTGCTAAATCTTTTGCTCAGGCTCACTCTGCTGACAGCACAAATGTCATCAGGCCAGCTTGAGGAATTGCCTCTAGCACGCCTACCTAAACCAGTGCTGTACACATCATGCCAGATCATTTGTTATTATACAAATCATGCATTTCTAACAGTCTTAAAGTGAAATAATGTATGTGAAAGGTGATGACTCCCAAACTCTGTACAAGCTTCACAATTGTCCTGTTACTCTGAAAATGCTGATGTCATCTCAAAGCATCCACACCTAACACTTCCACTACCTACTGACAAAATAACCAAGCGGAAATACTTTTACCGGATGTTATTTTTTTGGAAAACACTTGCTTACATAAAGTTGGTTTTGCCCCCTACAGTGCCACATGCTAACAACATATTGTTCTGTATTTCAAACTACAGTAACATCCCTTCACAGCCCAGAAGAAGTTACATTATGCTGATGCTTGCTAAAGTGGAAATGACACATCCTATTCAACTCACTTTACAGCTCATGAATTATTGCATCTTGTACCTGTATCAAGTTGTATCAATTAAGAAAAAAAAAATCCACAGGAAATTAAAGCATCATTCACATTAATAGAGAAACAGAGCAATGCTCACAGTGATTTTCTCATTTTTCACTGAAGAAAGCAGCCACTAACATCCCCCATGATGTGAAAAGTATCACCATGACAGAAACTGCTCCACTTCCCCTACACTTCAGCATATTTCTGTTCTAACTACAGCTCTTCAGAGATGTTACATGCCCCTGTGGCTGAAAGATCAATAGCAACGTATGTGGAGAACTCCAGATCACATCAAGAGCTTTGAGAGCATCACCTCCAGAAAATTTCAAGGCTTAGTTGGCCTGGACTCACCGCAGCCTCAGGTACAGGCACTGAATTTTCTTGTCCCAACACACCAGTGAAGAACAGAGCAGCACCTTCCAGACACTCCTCTCTCCTTTTTTTCCTTTTTAACAATTTACCTGACACTGTCTTCTTTCTGCAATTACTCAGAGGAGTGTTTTATTGCACGTTAAAAGACAAGATATGTATTGAAAGTAGCAATTTTATTTGAGTTAAAATTATTTACAAAAACCCAAAGACATACTTCATGAAACTGGTACAAACTATTTTTCCTGCCGTTGGCTTTTGCTCCAAAGATCACAGCTGAGAAATACTGTATAAAATAAAAATAGGATTGGATTCAGAAAAGTACTCTACTGTTCTAATTTCCAATTGAGAGTATTTACACAAATATTTACAATGGAAAAAAAGTTACTTTAAAACTTTAATTTGCAAGTTGGCCTCAAGTACCCTTTAATGCAGAGTTATTTGAGGGTCTAACACACAAAAAGCACTGCAGTTCACAGGGTGATTTCTCCCCCCACCCTCAAAAAAAGAAATAATCTGCATTTGTCAGTGCTTGACAATTAGTTACATTGAAAAAAAACTGTTAAACACTGAGGTAAATCAAATCCCAAACAATTACCAGTGTAACAAAGAAAGGTAGTTGTCCCTGCTTTCCCCCATCAGCACATATGCATTGTATTTTCTCTCGTCTTCTCTCCACAGAAAACTACATAATCAATTTGAAATCCTGTTATAAGTGACAATCTTGAAAATCAGAAAACTAAATGGGCAAAATATTCAACCATTTCTTTCTGATGCAGATAATTTACATGAAGTTCCTCTCTCAATACAGATTTATTTATTTTAAAGAAAGGGGAATACAACCTGAAACACTTTTCTAAGTTACACTGGTACACTAAGTTTTAGAAGGTGATGAGAGAAAACGCAAAAAAGTATGACCAACATAGGATTTTTGCCGCTAATCAGTTACTTCCTTACAGAATTCCCAACAATCTGCATTATCAAAAATAGGAAGACATAGAAGGCAGCCACTGTATGTAAAAAATTTACAGCTGGCACTGATACAAAAGCACAAGTTCTTAACTTTATACATGGAGATAACACAAGATCTAAAAGCAGGTTAGATTTCCTGTTATTTCCCCCTCATTATACATAGAACTAATATTTTTATGGCTTCAAGTTTCACAAATTTAATGGAATAACATGATGTAACTACCTATACAGGTACTTAAAAATGTTGATGAAGCAGATCTCACAACAGTCTGCAAATATTCAAGACCACCTTAATAAAAATAATTACCAATTCTGTCGGTCTGAATAATGAGTGCAAGAAAAAATGGTTTAAAAAAAAAATTCATGTATTTTCTGGGATTCTTTGTTCCACTTCAGTCTTCAAACACAATGCTTTGCTGTGAACTAGACCTCAGACTGAACAAAATCTTAGCTATATCAGCAATTTAAGGCTTTATGTTGTATGCATTTCAACTCTGTCATACTTCAGAAGAATGAAATAGAAAGATTATGTCAGCTAGGAACATTAATCCCCTTCGGTGTTTTAGCTTCTGTAAAATTCGTCCCCCTAAAGCATCCAAATTCTTTGTACTGAGCATTACAAAATACACCTTGAATGCTTCCTTAAAACAAAACAGCATTTCCAAGCTTTTGCTTATTAGAAGTGCAAGCTACCCTGGGATTTAATACCTTAAAAAGAAAAAAAAAACAAAACCCCCAAAACCAAACAACTTTTTTGTTTTTTTTTTTCCCCTCCTTTTTTGAACAGGGCACAACTTCTTACAGCTACTCTTTCTTTTGTGGATAACATACCCTCAAATGGCTTTGTGTGTTTATGGGTTCGCATGCTTCTCAGAACTACAAAGTGTTACGGTCTACCAGTTTACAGTACATGGGCTGTGATAGTTTTAGAACTGAGAAATAGTTCAACAACCTAATTTCAATCAAAACAGTATAAAAAATAAACTATCCAATCCTCACCTCTTTGGATTCCAACAAATTTTAAATATAGACAGTAGTTAAAATCACAAAAGTATTTAAAAATTTATATTTTTATGATTTTGGAATACTCTAGTAATAAAAAAAGCAAGAGCAAATTAAACTCAAATAGGAGAGGTGCTGCTGTCCAGAACTTCTTTATTAGAACATTTGTTTGATACCTCAGTAGCTAAGCTGCCTTTGCACCTGGCTGGCATGAAACAGTGGCTCAACAGTAAACAGCAGTTGCACTATCAGCAGCAAGTTTTTCCCCCTTGAAACTTGTCACGAACAAAGCAAGAAAAAAAAAGATAGGGAGGGTAAACCCTGCCAAAAAATATTTAAATACTGCACTGCATCATAAACAGCATGGGTTCTTTATTTACTTTCCTTAGAACCTTTTCCCCTCATTTTTGATAGTTGCAGATTGATGTAGTAACTGTCTTTTAGAAAATGCTGAATGCATGGTTAAGAGACCAGGTAGCCTTAAAAATCCAAACACGAATAACACAGATGAATGCTCTTGGTATATCCTTCAAGGACTTCTTTCATGACTTCTTCTTTTGTCTAAGGGTAGCTCCAGCATTAGAGTGCCTGCAGCGGAAGTTAAGTATCTAGCAGTGTTCCAAGTATTCAATCACCCTAGAGATAGATTTCTGGCCTGTTGTTCCAACAGCACACTGGAAAATGTAACAGAAAACAGAAGTAACAAACAAGCATTTGTAAAACCTCTTCAAAATATCTGAAAGCTATGCTCATTTCAGAATTTCAGTACACAAAATTATGTATCAGTAAGAGCTATTCAGTTCAGGCAGAGGATTCAGAAACATTTTCCTGACCAGTGGCAATTAACTGGAATGAAAGTAGCTCCACTGCATTTACTACCAAAATAATGATAAACAACTGGGTTTTCAGTATTTAAAGAACAGAAAAATTACCCTGTGCTCTTCTAAGGCCATAAACGGGAAAATGTTAAATGCTGCTAAAATGTATGGACTATTTATCAAAAACAGTTACAAAAATATCTACATACATCAATTTAAAATATATATTACTTACAGTAAGGTTCATAAAACTGAGAAATTTTTTGAGCATTTCAGTCATTATTGAGAAGTCCCCTTCAGGTAAGTACTCCCTCACAGTAGTCACATTGATCTATGAAATAAAACAATCTATTATAATTTGGGAAATATTTTTCTGACACAGAACTATGCTACTCTGCATGTGAGATACAATAAGACAAGTAGATTCACAGCATTATTAAGATAGCTTTTGCTGTCATCTCTGTGTTTTAATTCTCTCGAGCAATATTCATGTTTCTGCTTCCAGGAAATAGTAACTGCTAAAAATCTGCCTTTTTTTTTCTCCCCTCCTTGCCTTCCAGTTCAGTACCACCACCAGAATTCCCCAGGGCCTATGAGATTGTCATGAACTAGAAACCTCACCAGATCACTCCTGACATGGAGAGAATCTCCCTTTATAATTGTTAAGACTTGAACTAGATGATGTTAACATCCTTTCCAACCCTAACTATTCTATTATTCTATGATTATTAAATTTATTGTCAGTATCAATCCAAACACCAAAACTGTATGGAAGCTGGTCAGCCAAAAGGTACAGAACAGTGTGTTAAAGAACATTACTGCCATCATGGTAAATTTAGATATGCCTGAAGGCAGGGCTCAAGCTCATTTTCATTTCAGCATGTATTTAACAGAGTTTACAAAGCTATTAAGAGTTCTGTATTAAATTTTAACTTTGGCTATCTGTTATGCAGTTCCAATCTGAGACAATCATTTTCAACTAACATGGACATACACAATTTCATGTAATTTCAATGGAGGAAAAAATAAAGTAGACTGACAGAAAAAGAATAAACAAGTCTGACATTACCTTCCTTACTGAAACTACTGAAAAATAAAGCAAGCTTTTATAATTACAGAACAGGCGAGCCAGTTTTGTTTTGCCTTTCTGAAGTAAGTACATGTGCTGGCCAAGACTAACAGTGAAGGGGAGAGGGGCAGAAGATGTTAAATATTCAATTCCAACAGTTTTTTTCCATTCAGAAAATTGACTTTGAACAGAATCCTCACACAGCTGTATACATCAGAGTAGCTTCATTAAGGTACTAGCTCACATGAAAGCCTAATTCAATAAACCCACTTCAGTACTGCGAATTATTACAGTAAAAGTTGTACCGGACTTTAAGAACAAGTTATTGACTTATTCCCTTACTGGACTCTCTTGGCAGAGACAGCCTAGAAGCAATGCCGTGTAGGAGGCCACAATGCAGTCTTCCATGTGCTTCCCAGCATGCTGAAGAGCTGTAAAGAGAGACAACCGAGTGTATTGTGTTCTCTAAGCAGCTGGTATCAAATACAATCTTTCATTATCACTTCTCAGAAATCTTTTTTCTCAAACAAAATGAGCTTTTGGACTAAGACTTCAGAGGCAAGAATCAGGCAAACTCTGTACTTACTAACTCAGCTGCATGTTCTTGAACTGAAAACCAGTGTTCACTCACTTTCAACATATTGCACTGTACAGTGTTTTCTTAATTGTGATTTTAATGTGCAACTGTATGTTTAACACGCAACAGTACGAATGTAAATGTTTCATGGGGTACTATAAGCCAGTAACACTTCCACCAAATGAAGTTTATTGTACTAAGGATAACAGTGATAGTACTTTTTCCTAAAGACTCGGCACTTTGGGGCAAACTACAAATAGCTAAGACACCAGTTCATGGAGCTACAAAAAGAAGGAAGGATATAAAGCCAGGTTGGAGAAAGTAATACACCACACCTACTAACAGAAATTCAAAACACTATTAGAAGTAATACATTGCAGTTACTATTAGAAGATTAAACAAGGAGGCCTGATATATTTTCCAGAGACAAACTACTTGACTTAATGATACTCAAATTCCTGGAACAAACTACCAAAGATGCAGCACATTAAGGCATTACACAGGTACCTGAGATACCACCAATGGAGTGAGAAGTCAAGACAAAAAAAACAGGGACAGAAGCATCATACGTGCAAACAGGGAGAGGAGGAAAAGAACCCCTAAAAGTAGCATGAAACAAGAACAGGCCATGATACACTGAAAACCAAGATTAAGGCAGGCAACTTTCAAGGAATGTTTCAGGAAAATATGATAAAGGCCAAAAAGCCACCCGTTCCAGAATATTTCTTACACAGAATGTCCCTAAAAAACCAAAACAAAACCAACCAAACTTTAAGAAGGAACTGACAGAAGGAAGGTACTAGTAAGAAGATAAAAAGCAGCATAGCTTCTTCCACTTCTCATGCTTCAGCTCTGAACTGCTCCTATTCATGATCTGTAAGTTTCACCTGGGGGATATGCTGAGGAAATCTCAGCCCAAGAGACTGCATGTAGATAGGAAGCAGAGAACAAGGTGGGAATTTATGCAGTCACAGAGTTCTTTGCCTCTTCTGAGCTCATCACAACCAGACAACGCACCTTTATTAAGATCAAGTTCTTCATCATCTTCTTCCTTCTTAACTTTCTCTTCAGTGCTGTCTGGCTTTTCTGTGGAGACCCACTGTATCTCTCCACTTGTCTCTTGCCATTCCCCACTCTTATCATGCTGAGCAGTAGGAGCTTCTTTAATCAATTCGTCTGTCTGGCTCTCAGCCAGCTGAGCCGCACGCTCACACTCAAGAAATAGCTAATGGGGAAAATTTCAGGACAATTTCCATTATAAATTAAACCCTAAACACATTGACTTAACACTTCAAAGTTGATTCCCCCATCACAATTCACCCCTTAATACAGTAGGCCTTCAATACTTTTCTTAACAACAGCCTTTTCTTCTTCAAAAGAAAACATCATTTATCCCTACACAAAGGCTGTGCTCTACAGAAAAGGCCTCTCTCCCACCCCAGTGTTGAACTAGTTGGCAGGCTCCTCTTGGACATCATAAAATGTTTCATCATTGTCTTCAAGACACAGCTTGAAGACTAAAGGTTGCCATATTTTCTTGCCCATTTTTGTTCTCTATCAATCCTCCCTCTTCTCCATGCTAGTATCCCTACTGCTCTTTTCCTTTCATAGATAACAACACAAAAATTCGAAAGCGTAATATAAAATGACACATCAAGGATGTGACCGAACCAGCAATCTCGTATTGTGCACTTGTATCTTGTGAATTATTATCCAAGCCACATAATTATCAGCTTTAAACATTGCTTTGCTGAGCTGTATACATTAAGATATTAAATACTTTTATTGTTGATTTTTTTTGGTCTGCTGCTGGACAATTACTTCACATAGTTAAATAAAAGAACCACTAAAAGCATTCATAAAATTATCTCAACTGAAATAAGAATGCTGAAATTTCCTTTCAGTTCTTTTATTTGGGTTTGCATGGTGGAACTCATTGACCAAAATTGTTAAAAAAAGAAATCCACCACCAAGTTAGTCAAGACAACATTTAAGAATGCCATTTTACACACAGAACCAGTATATCCATAGCTTATTGCTCTTATAAACCATGATACTTAATTATTTTTTAAATTAAAGTTGCAGAGTCCCCAAAAGATGGTATTTAAAAAATATTCTGTGGAAGCAAAGCACAACAACAGTAGTTTACAATTTTAACAAAAGTAACCCATTTAGGAACAAGTTAACTAGAAATAAACTGCATAGGAACAAGACAGCTTTATGGAGCACGAGAGCAGCATTTAGATGCTGTAATAATGATTCCACTGTCTTCTACCAGGAAAGCTGTTTCTGTAATGTACAGTACTGAAAAAGTGAACAGCACCCACTATGCTGTATTACTCATAATACTAAACAGCAAGAAAATTCTGACAAATCTTCACTGCTGAATTCTTTTTCCCTTCCCTTTTCCTTGAGAGTCTGATGAGAAATGGTTAACTATTACCATAAAAACACATTTCTTACCTGCACTAAAGCCTGAACAGCATCAATCTGCCCAGTTATCTTTAGGCTATCATCTCCTCCTCCCGTACAGAATGAGTCAAAAGAACATGATGTTTCCATATTGACAAGACAGTGCCTATTCCGAGCACTGTATTCTACTAGATTGATCAACAGACCCAATCCCTGCAAGAATTGGAGAGGATTACACACATGAAAAATAGCTAAAAAGATCTATCCAGATAAACGTCTTCTTTCAGCCACATCTTTCTGAAGCTACATAACCTAGACCTCTACAAAACAGTTTGATAAACAGAGGGATTAGGATTTAAAGAAATGAGGCAAAACTGAGATCCCTGTATATGAGAACGTGAAAACATTTAAAGATGAACTTTGATTTATAGATTAGGGATTCAGGTGTCCAACCTTCATCTTGTATTCTTAAAAGACTCCTTCACATTCACAATTTCACTACTGCTACTTAGGCTACACAGACCCACTTTAGATAAGCTGAGGTAAATTTGACAAAGCCTCTCCCTCAAACAGGCACAGTATTTTTGAGTTGCAAAGACATTTGAAAATTAGGCAGTTCACAGATTTATTAGTTAAACCTTTGTTCACCTACCACAGGGAAAATTATTAGAACTCACCACCAAATCTTTACAGTGCCTCACTAAGTGTACATATATGGTTAATTAAAACTGTAGAGGCTGCTCCTTAATTTGTAACCAGAGTAGTTAAATGCACAAGAAAGCAGCAGATCATTTCCTGTTAATGTAACAAAACCAACAGCTTACCAGCACCCGAATATCAAATCTCTGTTCTTGAGGTAGGAACTTTGGAACCTGAAGCACACAATTCATAGCTGTGCCGATCAGACCATCTTGTTCACCTGTTTTTGTACTACCCCATTCTGTAAAGAAAGAGTTTAGAGGCTCAATTTTGAAAATACTCCTTTTCACAACTGGAAGCAGATTGATAAAAACCTGGCCCTAGAGGTAAATGGGACTCTCTAAGCCAAACCTCGCATCTTAAAACTTGTAACGACTCATCCTATTTGCAAAGACAAATTACTGATTAGGCAGGCATCCACCCTATATAACTGCTCTATTGCACTGCACATGGAAAGACCATAGTGAGTATAAGAAAGGGGTTTACATTAATGGTTTATTTGATGCTTTAACTCCAAATATGCACATTATTTTTGTTTTACCGTTATCGTTTGTCAGGTTGAGCAAGACACCAATGATGGCCCTCATACAGTCTTCCACTGCTTTACCCACATGGTTAGTTACATTCTGGTGAGGCAGAGGCTTATTGTCTGGTAAACAGATACTGTCTTCAGCACGATTATACCGCTGGATTAACTCCTCACAATGCTGCAGTGCTCTGCAAGAAGAAGATGCAGAACAAAATTACCTCCACAACATACAGGACATTACACTTTTAGATTCATTTCACCAGGGGAAAAAAATAAAAATCAAATACAGAGCTTAGGCAGAATGTTTCTGATGCCCAGATGCCCTGTCCATGGGAGAGATAATAAACTTACCGCTTATAAAGTCTTTTATGAGCTCAACTGAAATTGTGAAAACAAAAATCAGGAAAGCTTTGTGGCTTAGAGCTTTATCATTTTGAGATTAAGAAAAGAAGTTAATTTTTCTTTCCAACTCCATCACATGGCCTTAGAAAAGATCTCCTTCCCCTACGCACCCAGCCTCTCATATTGTCTGACATCAATGCACAACATTATTCTGACAGGGTTATCTCAATGTTCTCTTGTTCTGTCCTCAGACCTATTGCCATTCTGCAAGAAATAAATGTCATGTGACTTCCTAGCAGTAAAATCTTAATCTCAAACAGTAATGGACCACAGGCATGATTCTGCTGCATGACATTAGCTTGATATGAAACTGAAAACACTGCTTTTAATTACAAACAAGACTAAAAATGTCAAAAATACATACTGGTCTAAATAACAGTAAACTGGGAATTTTTGGTGGGTTTTTGTTTGGGTTTTTTTTTGGGCGTATTTATTTATTTAAAGAAATACTCCAAATATGTAACATATAGCCATGACATTATGTTTCCAATGAGGTCTGCAGAGTCAACTTTTCAACTTCATTTGTTCTCTTACGAAGAGCAGTACAAGTGGGATACAACCTCTGCCAGTAAACTGAGACCTCATCCAGGTTGATAAATGGGTTAGAGGTGGGTTTGTAGAGGCATCTTTGCCAGGGAGAACACCCAAGAACAAATTTTCACCGTTTTTAGTTACACTATCATTTCTGTTACACTCCATTTCAAGAAACGCTTAAGCATAATGAAAACACAATAAATAAGCATAGCTTGTCAACTGCCCTCTTCTGTGTTCATATTAACTTGGTACAGAAGGAGCTGAATCTACAGTTTGCAGCTTCTACAGAACCAACAATAGCAGCACTATATACTGGTAGCGTTCAGGCAATTACCCACACCCTCATCTAAATTAGTTTTAGCATTACTTAATGAAAAGCAACAGCGGAAATTGTTTTCCCCCTCCTCCCCTACAATCTTATGGTATAACAATTATATTCTGCTTTTTTTCCCCCTATTACGTGCAGTGCCTCTGCAAAGTTGCCTTTTTGTTACAACTTACTTAGCTGAGGATACTATGAGTTGCGAGTCTTTGTATGCTATCAGATAGCTCTGATTCTCTGGATTATGCACAGTTACCTAAAAAGAGGAAAAAATAGTATCAGAAATACAAAGAAAAGCATTCCCTTCCACTACCACAGCACTTTAATCAGTTCTATATTTCTTGGGTTATTATCCAGTGTAAAACTTTGCTTTATTTTCCAGTATGTCCTTGCAGTTTTTATCTTGTCACACAAAACTGCACTGAAACCATCTTCCCTGATGCAGTAAGTACAGGCACCATGTGGCAGAATGTTCTGCCAAAGAACCACCCTGAATCTATATCCTGGGACTACAATGTCCTAAGTGTGTGTCTAAATATATATGTGTATGTGTGCGTATATATATATATATATATATATATAAAAAACACAACACTGAATACAATTATATACATAATGTTACTTTTAGGACTTGGCATGAACTTCACTTCTGAGAGCTTATTACACATCCAGCCATAAAAATCAAGTTTTTCCTTGATTCCCTTGACTGAAATTCAGAATCAACTTCCAGAAACAGTAGAAGTTCTTCTCTTAAATTTGCATGATTTGGTGTGTTGATTTCTGCCATCTCTTCCAAGTTCCTAAGGAACTTACTACATCACAAACCACCCAAGTTCAATTCTGAATATCCTACCACTGAACAATGCTCTTCTACCTACTGTTGCCTGTCAGTTCCATCTACCAAGTAGGAAAGCAGAAATCAGATGTGTAAACTTTCCTCTCGCTATTCTGAAGACAGGTAGAGTTAGGTGCCATTCATTTTTAAGCAGGCACCTCTGAATTAGTAGTTCAGCAATTGTCCATACTCGTTAGGTTTTTTGCTTACCTTTACACTATCTTTTGAGTCTGTCCTTCTGTTTTAGTGAAGGAAGCAAGTTACCACTGAAGCTATTTGCCCTTTAACTTGGGTTTAAGGTGTTCAGTGAGATTCATCAACCTGTACTCTGAACGTGAATGTCACTTTCTGATGCATAGAGATGGACCATTAAAATATCACAACACTCTCCTGCTTGGTTACCATATCACAATGCAAAAAGAGACACACTAGTAACAAATATGAAACTCGGCAAAACAAGGAATGGCAGAGAAGCATATGCTTACCATTCCTGTCAATTAAGCACTACAAAAGTGTCATGTATTTTAATTCTGAACAAAGTTGTCATAACAAACATTTACTGTCTCAATATACACGCTCAACTGACTACAGGACTAGTGTGACTTTCAGGGCAGTTTTCTCTTTCAGCACTTAGCCAGCTGATCTGCAAAAGAAGCAATTCTTAAAATATACATTGATTTATTGCTTCTAAGAGAATACTGCTTCCATAATGATCCAAGCGTCAAACCCATGCCTTGAAAACAAACATCTATAAACAGCAGCTTTCTGAAGGAAGAGAAAACATCATGTTACATGGTTATTCTTATAAAAAATAAGCTTGCAATGTTGTACATACATACAAAAGGGTAAAAGAAATTTTCAGGCAAACACTCCAGGAACAATGAGCAACATCAGAAAGTCAGTATCTTCTATAAAAAAATAACCAACATCATAGGGTTGTTATGCAACTGTGCATTGAAAGAATGTAACACTGAAAAGGTCTGCTTCAGAAAAGGAGGTTTTCAGGCATGCAATCCATCTGTTCATACTCACACTTTCTAAGACCCGTAAACATCTTTCTGCACCCCATAAGGAAGCGACCAATTTCTCTTCATTTTCATCGCTGCTCAGGTGATCCACACATTCTTTAACTAAACAACAAAAGAGTTGTTTTCCACTATCAATAAGAGGTCTTCAAATGCAAAGTATACAAACTACCTACCTACCTACTCAGAGAGTTGCTCTCAACCTTGTTTTGCACTTCACAAGAGTACCATGAGGAAACAACAAAGACATGACCAGCATTCCACAGCCTTTAGTTTCTCCAAGTAAATAAAACAAAACCTTTACAAGGGGTAACGGGTTCAAACTTCAACAGGGGAAGTTCAAGTGAGATATAAGGAAGAAGTTTTTTACTGTGAGGGTGGTGAGGCAATGGAATGAATTGCCCAAAGAAGCGGTAAATGCTCCATCCCTGGCGGTGTTCAAGGCCAGGCTGGACAGAGCCGTGAACACCATGGCCTAGTGTGAGGTGTCCCTGCCCATGTCAGGGGGTTGGAATGGATGATCTTGAGGTCCTTTCCAACCCAAACCATTCTATGATGCTAATTTTGACTTGTACAAGTTCATGGTTGTTGCTGTGAATAACCTATGTATGTATTTTATTTTCTGCTGACAGTGAAGAGACTGTATAGCACACAACTATGTTATTTAACTGTAAAATAATTCTAGAAGACTGTGAAGGAGATTTTTACTCTAACAAGTGTGCTGTATTCATGTGCTGTACAGAGATATGTAACACACTAGTATGCATCCTAAGCTTAAACCACACATTATATGCAACACTATACACATTCGGTTTAACCTTAAACCTACCTTCAATCCCACATGCAACTGATTAAAGTCACTAATTAATTTGCCAGTGACCTGATATCAAATAATGTACTTTATTTTTTAACACTGCTCAGAAAAACACGTTTCTATTTTTAACCACAGAAAAAGAATATTTAAAATAGCAGACACCTTAGTAAGATTCACTAATTTTCTGTGCTGCCAACGCAGCTGCTCCAATATACCTTTATCTACAATATGATCAAGACCACCGAGAAGTCGCAGTTCTTCTTTAAACCAGTCCCCAGCTCGTTTCGAGGTGAGAGACAGTAATGTCTCCATTGCCAAATGCCCGGTCTGAAAGAATTAGGTTCCAGAATTAGTGAGATCATCATAAGCAGATTTAGTCAATGTATCGAATCATACAAACACACGTCACATAAAAACCATAAAAAGGAAGCTATGGGTTCTGAGTAGAACAACCACCAGAGGGAGCAAGAACGGATGGAAAAATATACATATCAAAGAAATTACTTGGTACAGATAAAAAGGTACTTTGGTTTTTCAACTTTTTCTTGATTTTATTAATAGCTTAGCAGACTAAGCAGACCTAAGCAGACTCCTTCCATCCACTTCTCCTGTTATCAAAAGAAACAAGTGGAGGAAGGAAATGGACAAATCAGGCAGGAAAAATACACAAGAAAAGCCACAGTGAACACTACTATAAACTCAACTTCATTTATGGTACATAAATATAGCAATGAAAGGTCAGAGAAGAAGCTGTAAGATCTCATAAAAGCCAACTGAATTTAACTACTCTTAAGTTAACTTCCCTCCCTGATGCATTTGATTGGTACTGCTTCAAGGAGGGCTGTGCTTATTCTGAGCTGTGCAGTACATTCCAGGATACCAGTTCAAACCTCAGCACCTCCTGGGAATAACAATACTCACCAGGCTCCAGTAAACACTCCATTGTCTAGGAAAAACAAGTTATAAATTGTATGAGCCCCCCAACATCTTCAGCTGCTTTCCTTATTCTCAAAATACTGATTTTCAAGGAGGAAAAGAAAGTTGAAGATTAGTCTTGATGAAGAGTTACCACCCAAAGTTAGCCACTTGTGTTTTTTAGGAGCACATGGTCACTCATGAGCATACAGTTAGTAACAGCATTTCTCCAATCTAAATGGAAGTGTCTTGCATCATGAACAGTGTTGTGGGGGAGAACACAACAGCAGAATATCTGCAACAGGTGGCTCATTCCTCCCAGTGCCAGCAGCACTTCAATTCCCTATCACAAAGCAAAGACAAAAGCTGCAGTTACTCTTGCAACTGTTCCACCACCCAGGAAACTGCTAACCGCCTTTAATTGCCAACAGCCCCTCACAGTCTTCCCACATGATGGAAACTAAACACGCTTGGTTACAGTTCATCTCATCACTGGGAGATAACAAGATCCAAAACCTCGCATTTTTAAAAGCTGTAAGTTAAAAGCATAATGCTAAAGGAGATGAGAATATTTTAAGCAATGGGTGGAGAATTTCCCTTCTGAAGCCAACCAAATGAGAAAGCTTTTTGAAAGAGAAGGGGAGAAAACAGGAAGACTGCCTTTTGACAGATCCCTAGCTCTATGAAGCCTCCCCATCCTCTGTAGATGACTCCCTTCAAATTCATAGACTGAGCTTGAAAATGTTGTAACATGGATATCTGAAATCATGCATAACCTAAAGCAGATTGAATATGATTGAACTTCTCTTTAGACATCTTAACACCTACAAAAGATTAAGTTAACTTCCTAAATATCTTCACCATGAAAGCTCAAAGGCCACACAACATTCAAAATACGGTGCTTAGTTTCCTGCCAAAGGGCAAAAAGACTTCAAAAACACTTCAGAAGAAGATAATTTGATATTTATACTAGTGGGCATTAAGAACACGATTTATTTTTTTTAATAAAATCTTGTAACCCTTTTGCTTTAGAGGAAAGTATAATCTATTCTATCCAATTTTTATGTCAATTACTATGAAATTTTAACACCAAGGTTCAAAACATGGATCCCTTAAGCTTTCAGCCTTGTGCTGAGAGTGAAAGCCAGAATAACCTCTTTCACCAACAGAAAAGAGAAGTCGCTTCTGAAGATTTTCATTACAATTCAACAGAGAGGAGGTAGCCGCAAGCATCAGCTACAGAGAGAGGCGTACTCCAACTGACACACAAGTGCCATTTGCCAAAACAAGGGCTGAGCTCTTCAGGTTTTATCTTCTAAGCCAGAAAACAAAAAACCTGGAAAAAATTCAACCCCCAGAGAATGTTCAGTTTCTACATTTACATTTTTTAAAGTTCATAACTGTCTAGAAACCAGAACCCTTTGAATACCTGCTAGAGTACTCAAAAGTTAGACCAATCTAACTCGTAGACGGTCACATGAACAACACTGTGGAAAGAGATGGGCAGTCTTGATCATCATTCTTGGATCGGTGTAAGATTCAGAAAGAAAAGGTGTAAGTGGTTAGGAACAAACTGGAGTTATCAAAACATCTCCTGCAATCCTTCTACTCCTCAGTGGGTATGTCTGAGTCTGAAAAGCAAAAATCTTTACCCCCAGAAGATCTGCACTCCTGTTAGCATTTTCTGCACGTCATCTGGTACAAAAAGAGAGATTGGTTATTATATTTCATGACAGAGACCTAAGTGAAAGCAACTATCTTCTACATATGAAGTTCATTATTGGCTCAACTTAACGTTGCTACTGTCAAAAACTGGAAGAGAACCTAACCATCTCATTTGGCTTGCATATATTCTCTAAACACTACATAATCTCTGCAGAGAAGAGATTCAGAGCAGCCCTGTGGAGAAGGACTTGGGGGTATTGGTCGATGAGAAAATGAACATGAGCAGGCAGTGTGCGCTTGCAGCCCAGAAAGCCAGCTGTATCCTGGGCTTCATCAAAAGGAGCGTGACCAGCAGGTCGAAGGAGGTGATCCTGCCCCTCTACTCTGCTCTTGTGAGACCTCACTTGGAGTATTGTGTGCAGTTCTGGTGTCCTCAACATAAAAAGGACATGGAACTCTTGGAACAAGTCCAGAAGAGGGCCACGAGGACGATCAGGGGACTGGAGCACCTCCCATATGAAGACGGGCTGAGAAAGTTGGGGCTGTTCAGCCTGGAGAAGAGAAGGCTGTGTGGAGACCTCATAGCAGCCTTCCAGTACCTGAAGGGGGGGCTATAAGGATGACGCGGAGGGACTCTTCGCTAGGGACTGTAGTGACAGGACAAGGGGTAATGGGTTCAAACTTAAACAAGGGAAGTTCAAGTGAGATATAAGGAAGAAATTCTTTACTGTAAGGGTGGTGAGGCACTGGAATGGGTTGCCCAAGGAAGTTGTGAATGCTCCACCCCTGGCTGTGTTCAAGGCCAGGCTGGACAGAGCCTTGGGTGACATGGTTTAGTGTGAGGTGTCCCTGCCCATGGCAGGGGCGTTGGAACTTGATGATCTTGAGGTCCTTTCCAACCCTAACTATTCTATGATTCTATAATGATTCTAGATAATACAGCTAGGAGGGAACCAGTGTCCATCTGTGAGGTACTACAGTATTCAACACATTCACAACAGCTCGACATAATTTTAAGGAATAAAGATGACCCAAGAAGAAAAATAACCAACCAAGCAAAAAAAAAAAAAACAACACAAAACCCCCCAGAACCAAACAGCTTAAACTGATGGCCTGTGATAATACTACTTTTTACTAATGGAAAGCTTCCTCACAAGACAGAGTCTCTTTTAACACATCCTCTCTCTTTAAAATGCATGCCTAAGAAAAACGCAAGAACAGAATTACAGTTCATAGAAAAACATCAGGCTAGCTCAGACTATGAATATGAGAAAAAAATAGGAGACTGTGGCTGGATGCTTTGGCAATGAGGAACCTGTACCAGTAGTTCCATGCTTAGTAAAGGGAGCGTCTTACATTTCATAATGCAAAAGATACCCTGGCACTCAGACTGTGAGCAACATGAGTTGCCTTTGGTGCCAAAACAGCACTGAAAGAAGACACTGATAATATCAATTCCTAGCGGATCCCCACCTGGAGAACAAATTTCACTCTGTGTCAGTATCTTGAGATTGTATTCAGTGAATTCAGAGAGTAAGCTGAAAGCAGAGAAAATAATTTCAAATTCACTCTTCATTTGCAGATTTGCAAGGCCAGAAAATTAATACAAGCCACCTACCTGCATGTTTCATAGGTTTGCAGTAAACAAGTCTAAAACTGGTACTCTGAAACAATTCTCCCTTAACCTTGCTAATCATTTTGGAGACAAGAACTGTCATCAATATTATCTCTCTCCCCCAAAATTCAGCTCTCTCTACTACTACGTAATACTGACTTTTCATACCAATTCAACTGTTCTGTAGCTAGATTGTTTTTTTTAGGAAAAGAAACCAACCAAAAACCACACCACCACTGCAAAAACCACCAACCAACCAAAAAAAAAAAAAACAAAACACCCAAAACCAACCAAACTCTTCCTAAACTGACAAAAAAGTCACAAAACCTGCAAAAGAAAATGGCAGCTCAATAAGTCATGTCATCTTTTAATCTAACCTAAAATGGAATACCATCTTAACTGCAGATTACTGACAGGAGCTGAAACATTATTTGCAGAGATAAAGCTCTGAAAAGCTCACTTCATAAACAATAAATCAGAAGCTTCTCCTGTTGGTCATTAAGTATTAAATTAAGAATGGCAAAAACCTAGTAAGAACCTTTAAAACATTAAAAGAATATATTAAAAGATATTAAGAAATTAAGATCATACCGACATCTGTTATAATGAAATACGGTGAAAGCAAAACCACATTACTAATTTTTGCCATTTATGACCACTCATCTAGTCAATCCGTCATCAATTCTCCAAATATACTCTTAAAAAGACTTGCAACTTACCCTTTGTTTTTCAAGCTAGCTTGCCGCTAGCATGGCCAAATTTATTTTTAAACAAAACCAGTTCACTCTGCTGCAGCTGAAGATACATTCATAAAAACAAGTACGTTTCAGAAAGGAAGGAAAAAAGAACCATCCACATTTATAATCAACAGACCTGCCACCACACTCTGGGCACAGAGAAATCAGTGTCTGTTGGACAAATATTTTTATTTTTAATGTGAGAACCTGCACCACATTTTCAATTTAATACACAATGCTCTTATTCCCAAGTAAGAGCCCACACTGTTTGTGAATGTATATGCAACATTTAGGCAATGAAACAAGACTCAAATAACCTAAACGTGGTCTTTTAAACCCATGGTTAAGATGTTACATCTTGTCAACTGCTACCTTTAAATAGCTACCCTTAGCAGGGGTGAATGGCGAATCAAACCGCTGAAGAAAATCAGCCTTTTAGAAACAAAAAAAAAAAGATTTAAAGACAATGATACTTGCAGTGCTGAGTATACATAAAACACAGACAAAATGTCCTGACTCCTCACAGCTGAGAGATACAAAATTAAGGGTGCTGCTTGCAAGTTCCATTTTATTAAGCAAGCCACTACTGCCAAAGCTTTCAAATAAAAGCATGATACCCACCGTGATGTTTTCCAGATCAAGATGCTTGTTGTGAACAGTTTCACACAGTCTTCGAATTTTTTCCTTAATTTTATTCATGTCTTTTTCATTCAGCAGCTTGGCAGAAGAAGCATCTTGTTCCAATTCCAAAAGCCGTATCATCAGATCTAGACTAGCTCTGTCTAAATCCATGTTCAAACGATCTCTACTCAGAATGTACATTAGAGCTGCTGTACAAAGGGACAAATTCTTGGGTTGGGAGAGGAAAGGAAAAAAGAAAACCAAACAAAACAGGTTTTAGGAATCATTAGGCAGACCTTTTTCAACTTTTAATAAACAAAGATTTACAAAAGAAAAAGCCTGGCAAGTCCAAATCTACGCTAGCACTTGCATGAGTACTTACTGTTTTATGTTGATTCCTTCTAGCAAGTTACTAATGCATTCTTCTAAGCAAAACAACCGAGACATAAATCACTTAACACATTTACAAAACCCTAGTAGAAAAGCAGGGGTTTCTACTTTTAAGGGGCTCAGTGCTGCAGAGAGTAAGACACGGTAACTCCAGAAACACAGTATTGTAGAAAAGAGACAGATGGCAGGGGAACAAAGTGAAAAGCACAGGGTACGTGGCGAGGTAGGTGAACATTCTTGTTTGATGGGATAAGCTGGTGACAGCACCAGAAAATACAGAGATGGTGGGGACAGTGTCTGCATGTGAACTGGGTGGGGGACAAAGTGCCTGGTGACACACATTCCAATTCTGCCAAACAGGTCTGTTCATCAGTAGTTCAGCCAAATCCTTCCAGCATAAACACATCTAACTACCAGTGGAATTCTGCTTTTTAGAAGCAAGACAGAGTACAAGCCAGCTTGCCCCTGCATTATCTTGATCACCCCTATCTTACACAGAACTGGTATATACACATCTTACTGGATAAAGAATACTTAAGTCCTTCTTCAAGAAGGAATTAAATTTCTTCTTCATGAGTATCCAGAAATGCAAAGGCAGAAGGCAACTGTCAGGAAGGGGCAAATAACAGTGAAGAGATCAATGCAAAGCTATCCGTCCCTAGTGCTGGTAAGTACAGCACTTGCACTGAGAACTCACCCATCCAGGTGAGCTCCAAGTTACAGTAAAGAGGAGAAATGTTCATGGAGAACTGAGTTGTGCTGGATATACTACTTTCAGAAACCTCTGATGGTATCTGGAGGAAAAAAGCTGGGAGTGGGGTGGGGTGTGTATGTGTGTGTCTTTCTGGGTTCAACGTGCTTTATGCACCTATTCCATTTTTTCTGTAATAAGCAAATTAAAATATGGAGACAAACCAATTCTGGGACGTGAATGTTGCACAGCTCAACAGGAAAGAGCAGAATTCCTGTGTCATGCAGATTAACATCTTGTTTACAGTTCAACCAAGCACCAAACCAATCGTTAGCTGCTTCTGTTTATTTTAGAAGCAAGTCATATTAAGCAGTATCAGCATTTCCAAAACAGGATTAGACAGCTGATAGTCTAGCAAAAGCTATGTTAAAACTCCTTCCTCTATGAATCAAGGAAACCCTCAGGTGAACAGAGACTAACTACCGAAGACACATTTGGAACACTGAAGGAAGGATGCAAGGTTTTCCAAATCTATGTCTCCTTTCATGAATAAAACCTCAAGACAAAATGTTACAAAAATTAAAAAAAAAAAAAAATCCTTAGCTGTGAGTATCACTCCTCCAGCCTTTGCAGGTCTAGGGCAGAAAGTAATCTATGTGGCTTGTCTACACAGACAGGGTATACATTGTTTTCACTTAATTTCTATTAACTTTCTCCAATAAACCCTGCAATTTTATCGTTTTAATTATAGAAATCGTTTCTTCTGGATTCAGTTGCAACTGGCTTAAACTGCAAGAAAATTCAGGTTCCTGGAAGACAACTCTGCTCCTTCCAAATGGCTGTTCTTAAAGCAGGATATAGGAGCACATGCATTCCAGTGAATGGAAAATAATAGAATAACATAAAATAATGCTTAGCCACCCCCCCCCCCCCCAAAAAAAAAATTAATACAGGGAAACTGCTGAATTTATAAACTGGGCTGCCAATATTTAGGCATTTCAGGAAGTCAGACTGCTCTTGGATCACTACTCAGAAACGCTTTATAGATATTCCAGAGTTTAATAAGGGCAACCAGACTCACTTTGTAAGCCTCTGTACCCAAGCCCTTGCTTGTCCTAGGCTCCCTTCTTTACAATTCAATTTACTATTATGAAGAGAGTAATGGTTCTCTCCCCGCATAGGTCCTGCCAACACTTCTCTTCAGACCTTCCACCCAGGTTTTAAGATACTTAAATGTAATCAGAAGGGACCTAAGCAGGGGACTAAGACATTACACAGAAGGTTTCAGGCTACAAAAGGACTGCCTGAAAAGCAAGGACTGAAACAGCTAGGTGTAACAAGAACTAGGTTCCTGCAACAGCACGTATACAGAAGGCGAATCAGGCCACTAAGCTTCCCAATGCTTACATGCAATAGGAAAATTCCTGTTTTTCCTATAAGAAAAGTAACGACTTTCATGTAAGGAAAACAAGGACTTCAAAAGTGAATGGTGCTTATAATGTAGAACAACCTTCAGCTACATGCCAGTGATAGGGGTTTTCTAAAACAAATTTTTCTCTAGTCTCCAGAGGAAAGCTAGTTTAACCTTGAATATAACATCTCTACATTCTGCTCTGATCTTCTGTGTTAGACAATGTGGTTAACTGTTTATGAAAACCCTATCTCATGCCCTAGAGTGCACAGAATTCTGCGTGGGGAATAACACATAAAACCAAAACGAACACCCAAACAAAACCCAGAACAAAATCATACCCTCAAAATCCCACCGTTGGGCAGTAGTGAAGCTCTCTCATTTTTGGTTTTTTTTTTTTCTTCCTACTCTATTCCTTAAGATGCATAAAACACATTCTACTTCCAGACAAATGTGGAGAGAAAAAAAAAAGTAAATTAAATAGGATTTACTCTAGACAGAAATTTTACGGCACATCTAACTATGGAGTTACAATCCATACTTCTACTGAATTCAGGAAAACATCCTAGTTGAACATACACTCCAGAAACAGCAGACCATTTACACCCACTCTCATCCTTGTCTTCCCTTGCTTGTTCTATTTATACTCCCAACTTCTGGGAACAGATGGTTATTTTCTAGGGTTCAGCACTACATTTAATGCACTTTTTTTTTATAATTATTCACATGCTGAAGGCATTACAAAACCACATTTCTGTGCTGAACTACTGACAGCTACAGTGAGGACATCATTTTTGATTAAAAATGATACTCGTACTCCAAAGCTTTTAGAGCATACCTGGAGAGACAGTCAGTTAAAAACTGAAACTGCAGCTTAAAGACAAATGTACCAGAAAAATTTGGTGGAAGGAGTAATATTCACGTAAATACTTTGGGCATAGCTCAGTAAAGTAACTGGTTAGCTTGCTTTCCTTGCTGGTTACAAAATACCTCAGCAACTGCTATTTCATATTCTTATGGAAATATGAAAGTCCCCCACTTTCTCAGTCTATTCCACTGTAAAAGTACAATCAATGCAGTATATGTACGTATTTGTTTCCATTAGCCCTGTCACCATGCCAGTCTTCCCATCTCCAAAATACTTTAAAGAAAATATTAACAAAATAATTATACTTTTTTTTTGCCTAGTCCTTATTCAACTTAAATGCGTTTAAGCCATGTGTTATTTAGTGAGTTACTCTGCACTGAGATTTCATGGAAAAATTCCTATTTAAACAAGTTAAAATGTTAGTGAAATAACTGTTGAACAAAAGAGCAGTATATAGAGACAGCAAGCTTATACAGGAGTCACTGTTGAAGCATATACTGTCAGTAGAGATACTTTAGCATTTAATAGTATTTTGATAAATCAATAATTTTATAATACTGTATAACCTGCATCAAGAATGCACTGTAACAATACTAAAATGTTACTACCTTTTCCCCCCTCTGACAAGAAGCGTTTCATCAGATACACTGAAAATAGTGAATATAATCAATGCTTCTTGTTACTGCAGACTAATAATAGCATGCAATTTCCTTTTGAACTGTATGTGCTAGTTCTTTTGAAAATGAAGGAATAATGGTAACTGTCAAAAGACAGCCAAAAATACACCCAGCAGACTTGTACATTTTCCAAGGAACTGGAGCTGTCCTCTGCAGATCTCCCGCAACTCAGTGGTGGCAACTGTCCTAAATACTGTGACTGTACTTCATTTATTTCTAGTATCACTTGGTACTATTTTGACAGCTCACAAAGTAACAAATGCATTGAACCTGGTTCCTGTGTTTTACAGTTAACCACTGCTAATTTTTGAAGGAGATAGAAAAGCAGCTATTATTCTAAATAAGTTACTTAAAGCTCTACAGCTTTTTCCCCCACCCACAGTAAGATGTCAAATACAATCTCTTAAATATCTATTTCTGTGGGTGCAAAGCTTCCTTCTGCATTGTATGTCATTCTTCCAGAGCTATTAAATACAAGTAATAGAGCTGACTGGATATACGCATCTACTACCCACTTCAAGTAACATTTCCTATGTTCAGCTTTTGTAACAATACCTCAAGGGATACCCCACAGAGGCACAGTTTCCAACCCCTGGAAAAATACTATCACCTGCAAGAAGCATCTTCTATTACAACTGAATTGAACTTGTAAAGTTGATAAGGACACTCCAAACTGCTTCAGATTTTGCCTCTCAAGTCATGTTACCATAAGCAGTTAAAATTTACCTTTCCTAGATAAACCATAGAATACTGAACACACTCAAAGCATCCTACAACTGCAATTACAGCACTGTTCAAGGAAACAAGCATGGGACATAAAAAATGCCCCACAACAGCTACAGAAAAGGCAGTAATTCACATACAAGCAAGTCTGGAGAAGAGCACTTAGAGCCATCTTTAAATAAAAGGAGAAAGGATTCCTTTCAAAAATATTTTATGTGAAAGAAATTATAAACACAACAATAAAACTATTAAAAAAAAAGCTTAAAAGAAAATAGCATTCCAAAGCACAGTATGTTGGTTTTTTTTTCAATAGCTAAAATGTCTTTTTGACAAAAGAATTTCCAAACCCAGCAGCACATTACAGTGGAAGCGGAATCTGTCATTGGAACGTAAGCGCTCTTATTTTTCACTACAGATTTCAAAACCAAAACCACTGGTCACAGATGCACACTATACGGGATGCTTGACCTTGTATTATGCGTACACAAAATTCATATAAAGTAGACAAATATGACCAGACTTTAATGAAATGTACAAGATATCCATACCTGATGGTGTTGGGAATCATCCAGTGTTTTGAAAACCATGGCCACCATCCCATGTGCTCTCAGATGCATTCGGAAGCTGGGCATGGCGCACTTTGTCGCCAAGCTGATTACACTAAAGAAAATGAATTCTGGATGAGAACAACTAAAATGGGCACATTTACGAATACGGCAGCTAAACAAGTCTACAGACTGTGGCTGACCATGTCAAGCCCTGACAAACTCTGTTAGGATGTTTCTTCTAAAGTTTGTATAAGGCAAGTTTGTAGTTGGTGCACAGAGCAGCATTTTATTCAACTGCTGCTTACCAGCACCAAACTACGTCTGCTCTATTTTAACGCTGGCTAAAAACAGAATTTCAAAGGGTACCCTGAACTTGCTTCTTTCAAACAAAAGTTGAAATAATTTAAAACAGTTAAACTGAAAAACAAACGTTCATGAATTAAGTACAAAGTTTGATTTAGAGGCATAGGAGAGTTTATTATGGATCAAAGCATTATGAAAAGTTGTAAATGTGAGCTTCCCTCGCTATCTAACAGTTATCTATCTAGTTAATTAGTCCTGCTTATGCTGGACAATACTTTCACAAAAAAAAAAAAAAAAAATCACACCAACCTCAAACATTTTTAATATTTATTGCTGTATTCACTGTTGATTGAAAAACTGCAGATTTTGGGAAAAATATGATAAATCTATTAGTCTAATCAGTGATCAGAATAACAGTTCTATTTTAATAGCAGAATTCTTCCCCTGGTTTTATTAGCAAGCTGCCTGCCATTTCTAGCACAGTGCAACATGTAGACTATTAAAAATAGTTTTCTTTTAAATGGGGAATAATGTGGAAATGATTCTGCAATCAGGAATCTATTGAGGAATCTTACTATGAAAGATTCATACAGTGTGGTGTTTAAAGAACAAGTGTCTTTCTGTCTCCAATCACAACAGCACCAGTTAGAGCTTACCTACCAGTTTCTGATTCTCTTTTACGTCTATTCCTATCCTTACACATTGATTTCCTTTGGAAAAATACTTTTCTTTTAATTTGTTAACTGAAAGAAAAAATTTTTATTGTGTTTATACAAGTTACATTCCACAATATAAATTTGGAAAGTAAATAGTTTCAGATCTTAGGAAGCTTGCCATACAGGCAAGGTAAGTGCACTCATAACTATGGATAATAGATTTCTTGTATTTATACTCCAGCAACAATATTCACGGCTAGTTTTTGAGGAACATGAAGAATAAATTCTTAAAATAGCTCTCAAAAGCATTAAAGCTTTTCCTCATCCACAGTCAGATCTCAAGTCTTTCCTTATCACCTGGTCTCTGTGGGTTCGTTTTTCCTTCTCTACCATTTTAGTGTTGCTGAACACAGAGAAAAATTTACCAGTCTTAAAAAATAATTAAATAAAAAATTAAAAATATGATTACATAGTTACAAGAAATCATTCTAATTACCTTTGGTGTCCAGTCTCTGGACATAACATCAAGTCAAACTTTTCCAAAGCAAGACTAACACTTTTTACTACTAACTTCACAGTAACTTGCATATTCAAGAGTACAACAAACAGTTCAAGATAAAGCTTCCAGTTAATACTGAGACCACCTCCAGTGAATGCTAGCCATGTTATTTCTCAACAGAAGGTAACGAACAGGAATGCTGGAGTTACACAATCTCTATTGCATTACTTCCGGATAACAGCCAGCAACCTTTGCAGTCTTAAGGATTTTATTTTAGAACTGAATTTTGCATTAAAAAAAAAACAGAGCAGACACTGCATGTAAGACTGCACTAAATAAAGTGGGGATTTTTTTAATTTATAGCATGGAAATCTGTTGAAGATGTCATTTACTGTAATTTTTTTTTATTTCACCTTCCTAGTCATCCTGCTTTTGAATATTCACAGTAAATCACCTTGATGATTATTTTCCAATTTTGTACTCTTTACAGAAGTGCCAGGTAATTACCCAAACAGCATTTTAAAGCATGGTCACTTCATTAGTAAATATTTAATTCAGTATCTCTTTTAAATGTAAGGTCAGTGTTTTATAGTAAGGTATCTTACCTAAGGCAACGTGTGTTTAGGGGCTGATTGCTCTTCAATCCACTTAGCAAGTACTCAATATCATCAGTGAACTCTTGATTTTCACCAAATTCCACTACATCATTGAAGTGCTTTACATGCTGAACAACAGTGTATAACTGGAAGAGACAAATATTGTGACCTAGGTAAGTTGCTCCGGGGATTAATTATAACCTTAACAAGTACAGTTTAAAAATCTATTCAGTTTTGAGTCCAAGGAAACATTAAGAAGTTAATGAAGGCCATTCAACTACTTGGATAAAAATATTGTCTTTAATAGGAAAGCCAAATTTCATTTTGACACTGTTCCTTCAGTATTTAGGATTACTAATAATTCTTTATCTTAAAAATTTGTTAAGAATACTTACTTCTTTGTCTTCTTTCCTACATTTCAATGCAGTTACTATCTCTTGATAGGGCTGAGTAGGTATTGTCACAGTTTTTATCACTTTGGGAGGTGGTGCAGGAGCCTTAAAAACTCCATCATCTTTATGAATTGCCTCCTTTGAAGATAGCCTTACCTATTAATAAGAAAGTGCTAAAATGGGCAGGTGTTTTGAGCATGTAAACACATACTAAATACATCAGGAAACAGTACAGGTGTGCAATTGTCAAACTGACATTTTGGGACTATTTAGTCCTTGCCTTACACTATCAAGAGCTACCTAAATGGTGTGATAATGTATCTTCTCTAAAAAAAAACAAAAAAAACCAAACTTATAAATTAAATGCATTTTTAAATACAAAACCCAAGTTCTATGTAGTCAGGAAAGCTCCTGTGAAATTCTGGAACTTAATAGTCCCTTACACTAGTTCCTTAAGTTTTAGGGTAAGCAAACCAATCACGTTCATCCTTTAAAAACAGTTAATTGTTGATAGGGACAAGCATCTTACCCCCTTACACTGGAGATACCAGGACTAAACTGGCTGCTATACCAAACCATCACTAAGTACACTGGTGTGGATTCAAGCACAGCAATGAGCAATCACTGTCTTGACATAGACTGAACTAAAAACCTTTGTGCTTACTGTTCTCACCTCTAACTACTGGAGGCTACTGCACTACTGTACTCGGGATACAACTATCAACTGACCTCTCCAACCTGACGCTCCAAACTTTTTTGCCTGGAGGTAGCAGACTACCAATATGAATTTTGTAGGCAACAAAAAACTGCCACACAGAGAAATGAGAGAGGCATGACTCAAGCAGGTAGGGTATGCTCTTGTAACTTCATGGTATTCTTGCACACTGGCCTTATTCTTACTTATAGTGTGCTTTAGGAACAACATAGTATAACACAAAATACAGAAAAACCTATTTGGAGCTTATACAAGGTAACAGATAACTTGATGTAACAGGAATAATCACTGACAAATTGCCAGGCATCTCAGGCAAGTATTACAGGTTTTCTCTCAACCTGCTTCTCTGTATTAGTTTGATGCTACTATATAAGCTTAAATGTCACCTTATCTTCTGATTCCTTCTTTGGCACAAATTCAGATGCAAAGACAAACTACAGAAAACAAGACATACACGAAAAAACACACCTAAATGACAAACTATAAATATAAAACTGTCAATGCAGTAACCATTTATTCACCCTCAGTCTCTAAATAAAATCATGTACTTAGTTTCCTTATATAGAAAAATGAGCAATTTTTTTTAAGTGACTGAAAAAAAGATAGAATTAATATGCAGGCATGGAGGATGCATTAACTGTCACTTACTCCAGGGGACATTTTGAGAGACATCCTTCTTGTGCATTGTACATTGACAGTCAAAATATAAGCCAAAAAATGCTACATTAACAGAGTATTCTATCATTGTCCAGCACTTCAGTATTTGCTCACTTAGGCTCCAGTGGAAAAGTGCCAATACATCACCCTGAAAAGCTGGTTCAGAGAACATACTGGAGCACTCTGATCTTATCAGTCTGCGAACACAGGAGATGCACTGAAATATCTCATCCAAGTCTTGGTTAATGGCTTCCCCTTCAAAGTAAATTCCAGGGGAGCTTGGGAAGGCCGTAAGAAGCAGTACTTGGCATAAGCAGTTTTCATGCTACAGGTTTCTCACAGTAAATCTATGACAAATTTATCCAGATCTTCAGGTAACAAATTTCTACTGAAATTAGAGGCAGAAATTACCACTGAACATTTGGATCAAGGTTCATGTACCTTTTAACCCTTTAATATTAATTATATACATGTAAAGCAAAGTTTAAAAAAGTGACAGAAGTAACTTCAGATGAGCACTATAAAATGGGAACTCCCCTAACTGGTTTGTTCTGCCAAAGCTCTGCCATATTCCTGAATTAATATTTTGATGGTTCCAGTTACAAAGTAGAAGTTTGGCAAAAGACAAAATGCTGAATAGAAATGATCTGGACATTTTCCTAGCCTGAAGAGGATATATTCGAAGCCTCTCTGAGAAGACTCGGACAAAATCTGCCTTTAAGTCGGCTATCAGAGAACTTCACAAAAAACAGTATCTATACAGATTCAGTAAGCAACAGAAGCTTCAGTTCAAATGCACATAATTTAAATTGAGAAAGGGGTTTAGGAGAAAGTCAGGACTGAAATTTCTGCTCTCTCCTTGTCCTGGGCTCAGCAGTAGCAGTCATTTTTCTCCGCCTTGGTAGCTGGGGCAGTGCAGTGTTTTGACTTTCGGCTCGGGAACAGAGCTGATAGAGATGTTTTGGTTTGGCCAAGGACTTTGTGAGCCTCATGCTTTGCCAGGGAGGAGGGGAAGCCAGGAGGAAGCAGAGACAGGACACCTGACCCAAACTGACCAAAGAGGTATTCCATACCACAGCACGTCATGCCCAGGAGGTAACTGGGAGTTAGCTGGAAGGGCTGGGAGACTGCAGGGTTGGAGGAGGTATGGGTCGGTGCTTGGTCGGGCTGGGGCGGGGGGTGAGTTATCGGTCGGCTGGTGGTGAGGTGATGTATTCTCTTCCCTTGTTATTTCCTTTATCATTATTATTATTGGTGGTAGCAGCAGTGATTTGTGTTATACCTTAGTTACTAAACTGTTCTTATCTCAACCCGTGGGAGTTGCATTCGTTTCGATTCTCCTCTCCGTCCCTCCAGGAGTAGGGGAGAGCAAGAAGGGGGGGAGTGAGTGAACGAGCCCTCTGCCTGGTTTAAACCATGACACTCCTCAAACACTAGTGGTAATGGTTATTTTAAAATGAGTCATCTACATTCTCCAGGCAGGAGGAGGAAAGGAAAGCTGCTCAGAACGCTGGCAGGATGCAACCAAAACCAACCATAAATAAAAGAGGAGCTAGGATCAAAACACACACGCATGTGGAATTAAAGGGGGGGGAGAAAGTAAAACTGAAGTGGGTGACAGCAGCAAAAGCTGAAGACTCATCCCTGCAAAAATATCTACTTTCCAATTTTCTGTCATCAGGCAAGCACTGAAAGCAAGGCACCAAATGAAATTAAGATCACTGACAATGTACAATGCTCTCGTCACACAATCCGTAACAGCTTTTACACATATATAAGCCCAAGACCCGGGATTCTCAGGGTCTCAAAAGAATTAAGAAACAATTACCTTAAGCCTTAGAACAATCACTGATTTTCAAACAAACAAGCTTCTTTCAGAACTTTTCACCTCTTGTCTACTTTTTGTAGACAGACGTGCTTGTATCTATGGTTATATTAACATTTCTGGCTGTATACAGTAAATTTTGTTTCTTCCATAGTGTCTAAAGACTCAAGTCAGGAATTTACAATACTCCATTAGAAAGGAAAAGTAAATGAAATCTCTTTTGAGGTTTTTCCTTTTTGACTTGCAAGCTGTGGATTTCTGTGGGTATTAGCAAGTTAATCCTAGGGGCTCCCTCAGAAGATGAAATGGAGTCCATTGTGAGAAAACTGAACTTCAGCAGATTAGGAAACGTAATCTGAAGTATTTTTTTTTTTGTATCGGTATATTGAAATGATATGAAAGACCCCATTCGTAGGTATTTCCATGGACAATTTCTTTCCCATCAAATACTCAACAGCTCATCTCACAAAGCAGACTTCATTCTGAATTACTGTGACATAACTAGATATCAAGAACTTGTGTTTCAAAATGTATCATTGTACCTTAAAAGGGGACTTACTAAACGCAGGAAAAAAAAAACAACAAACAACAGTCTACTTACTGGGACACTGGGAGTTTTCAAAACCGGTGGTGCTGGCAGAGCCTCCGATTCTGGCTGGTTCCAGTGTCTAGCATTATATACAGCTTTTGTGGGAGACTAAAAGATAAAAATAAAAGTTATTTTTAAAGCAAAATCTACCAATATCACTATGCACTCCAAAAATTATTGTAGCAATAATGTTACCTAACAAGTAAAATGCGTTTCATTTCCCCCACTTCTGTATTCCCAGCAACACAAGTTCTCTGTACCATACATATCAGAAAATCTGTAAGACTTTGAAGTACCTGATGGTTTTAAAGGCACACAGACCCACTCAAATGGCAAAAGACATTATGTGCATGTATTTCAAGATTTTTCTTTCTACTGGTTGAATTTATTCGAAGACAAAAGGTCTGCAACCTTAGCATAGACAAAACCAGACAGCTATGAGGGGGGAAGAAAACATGTTAGCAAACATCATGTCAGTAGAAAATATGACCAGTTTGGAATCAAAATGCAGATCTGACATAGACTTTGATGCTTCAAGAAAGAGAAAACACTCAAATTAAATGCCTTAATCCATATGATAAATCAAGCGTTTTTTTTTTTTTTCTTCCTGCTCAGAAATGTTTCAAGGCAAATCAAACTAAATCAAGATTTACTGTCCTTGAATTTTTGGGAAACACAATTGTCCTGGGTTCAGCAGTAGCAGTCATTTTTCTCCTCCTTGGTAGCTGGTGCAGTGTTGTGTTTTGACTTTCGGCTTGGGAACAGAGCTGATAACAATGATGTTTTGGTTTGGCCAAGGACTTTGTGAGCCTCATGCTGTGCCAGGGAGGAGGGGAAGCCAGGAGGAAGCAGAGACAGGACACCTGACCCAAGCTAGCCAAAGAGGTATTCCATACCAGAGCACATCATGCCCAGGATGTAACTGGGAGTTAGGCAGAAGGACTGGGAGACTGCAGGGCTGGAGGAGGCATCGGTCAGAGATTGGTCAGGCTGGGGGTGGGGGGAGTTACCGGTCAGCTGGTGGTGAGATATCGTATTCTCTTCCCTTATTTCCTTCATCATTGTTATTATTGGTGGTAGCAGCAGTGATTTGTGTTATACCTTAGTTACTAAACTGTTCTTATCTCAACCCCTGGGAGTTGCATTCTTTTCGATTCTCCTCTACGTCCCTCCAGGAGTAGGGGGAGGGCAAGAAGGGGGGGAAGTGAGTGAACAAGTTGCCTGACTGGGTTTAAACCACGACAACAATATAATTCTTAGAGGATGCAACGACAGAACTGCATTTCTAGCAGCTGAGTTTACCTATTTAATGGCATTATAATAATTCTAGATTAATACAGTATTACAATTTTCATAGTTTCCCAACATGCCGTATATTGTGTAAACTGCGTAACTACATACCTCCTCACAAGCACTTATAGAGCATTTTAAACATAGAAAACATAGATATCTATTAAAAAAAAATAAAAAGTTGGGCATTAAAAAAAAGAAATCCTGTTAAATGTAAGGTATCAGCTATTTAAAGCAGATATTAGCTCATGTACAGCCCACAGAGGGGCTATGCGCAGCACACCTAGCAGCCCCAGCTATAGATTCTGAAGCACAACAAGGTTTTGGCATGTCAAAAACTACAAAGTAGATTTCAAGAGTTTCGGTATTACTGTCACATGTTTCTGAGCTGCATCCTTCCATTCTCTACGAGATGAGAAAGCCCTGACTAACAAAACTTCAAAGAATATTAGCAGAATGAAAGTCTCAGCTGTGAGTTTTCACAGCCCAAAAAAACTGTCAAGAACTACATCATTTTAGTTTCCAGACAAGAGAAACTCCTTCCTTCCTACAGTGAGCTTTGATGTGATAAGAAATTTAACTTAGTTGGACTTTTTAATTAATTTTTTTTTAAGCAGCGCTCACGTACCATTCAACAACATGCATGCAATGGCCATCATCTCAACAGCTTCAGCTGTTTTCTGAGGAAGCTCTTTTAACAAGATATTTTCAGGTAATGGAATGTAAAGTTGCTCAGCAGCCACATGTACCCACCATGGCCACATGCAGGAGTATCAAAATAAGGGGTTTGATAATTTTAATTTTTAACTTTCCAAAGTAATGAAAGCACCAGCTTATCTCCTGACAATCTCTCCAAGCTCAAACAGTTAAAACTGAGAAATCAGTTTTTAAGTTCATGCTGCTACAGTTATGAGAGGACATCTCTGTCCATAAAGACGGTGTCGTATAGATCCCCTTTAGAAAAAAAAGTTAACTGCTGACAAAAATCACTAAAAGGTTAACTCTCTTCTCTCCCAAGCTTACTGCATTTCTGAGCAGCAAAGTCTTATCAAAATCTGGCTCAAGGTTTATGATGAACAAACCAAGGACAACTTAGTAACAAAGATGCTTTTTTAATATTGAAGGACACAAGGTTTTACAAACATCTGTAATGGGGAAAAAAAAACACAACAGAATATTTTCTGGATACTCACTACTTTTCTCTTGAATTACGATTGCTCCACAGATAACCTCAGTGCTTAAGACTGGTAAGAGAAGGTCTAAGTTTCTGGGTGCCAACATCCCGGTATACAGGATAATTCAAGGAAGTAATACACTATCAAGTAGCCAGCATGAAAGTACAGCATATATTTAATATCAATCTGATGCATAATTCTACTTAACCTTGCAGGGAAAGTTAACTATTACAGTTCTGACAGCTGTCTATTGCATTACTGCTGCCATAAATCCTATTAACATACGATATTCATTATTAATAGTCCCAAATCTCAGTTATAATCTCACATAGTATCCTATCCCTGCTTAAAGGATACCAATATATTAATATTCCTGAATTTCCTGTCTCGTAGCTACAAGCAGCATAGCTTTTTCGATCTCTGCCACAGCAGCGCTGTGCTCAGTGCACCCAGCAGGGAGATGCTGCAGGGAGATGCAACCCACACAACAGGATCCTAGATGTATGCCTTCCTCAGCTCCATGCAGAAACAACAGGGGCACAAAGCAAAGCAGGCTCTACTGCAGCTGCCACACCCCTCTCCAAGGAAAGAGCACACCTCACTGGCTCAGTGCCCTATCTGCATGTTCCTTTTTCTTCAGTGCTCCATGACAAACCAAACACAGCCCTTATTAGGTGCCGGGGAGCACAGTCATGCTGGCATTAAAGCTGTCTTACTGAGCTGGTACAGGTCCTTGCTCAACATGCAACAGGAGTGTCTGTAGTCTCGGCTTTTCGGAATTTAGCACCGCTGTTTCATATATGTGCATACAGCATGGAAGCACAGATGACAGAGATCAAGTTCAGTGCTTCAGTACAGCATAAGAACAAAGTATACAAACAGCTGCACCAGCGTAATCAAAAGGTCCTCACAGCATTAGTGTTTTCTTCAGCAGAGAGCAACAGCTGATGCGTAGGAAAGAGCTCAACAGGGCAAAGAGATAAAGACAATTCCTTCTAAATAATCAGGGCTCAGAGGCTTCCTGAGTCAGACGGCTTCATTTTTATTTAACAGTCAAAAATGGGCTTTTCCTCCCTGATTTTCCTTAATCCCTTATTAAATCAAAAGCTAGGGCATCCCCAAGTGTTTTGCGACAAAGCACTTTACAGATTGCTTAGGCACTACCAACACAATATAGAAGAAAGCTGCATGTAAGACATCAAGTAATGTCAGCAGTTAATGCCTGAGAAATGAGGACATCTCATTTAATAGCTGTCTTGTAATATAGTCTAAACTGGAACTGAAAAAGGCAGTTACTTAAAACCTTGAATACTTATTGAAGTTTAGTTTTAGCCACTACAGTTTGTAATATCTTCCACTTGCAGATCTAAACAGTGTTTAGATTTGACCTGTGATTCCATGCCCTTCTAGTAATATTTTGTTAACCAGTAGAAACTGCTCCCCAGCAGCTCCTACCATCTGGTCTACCTACTGCACACAGCTCAGCACACCCCCAAAATCCAGCACTGCTTTCCAAAGAAATATATCCTAATCAGTTCTAACTCTTCATTAGGGACTATAGTGATAGGACAAGGGGTAATGGGTTCAAACTTAAACAGGGGAAGTTTAGATTGGATATAAGGTGGAAGTTTTTTACTGTAAGGGTGGTGAGGCACTGGAATGGGTTGCCCAAGGAAGTTGTGAATGCTCCATCCCTGGCGGCGCTCAAGGCCAGGTTGGACAGAGCCTTGGGTGACATGGTTTAGTGTGAGGCGTCCCTGCCCATGGCAGGGGGCTGGAACTTGATGATCTTAAGGTCCTTTCCAACCCTAACTATTCTATGATTCTATGATTATGCAGGGACTTTAGAGTTCTCTTAAAAATCACATGGATATAGCAAACAGATCACTCTTCTGCAATCACCTCTTAAAGGAACCTTCACATACTGATCTGCAACCCAAAACAAAGATGAATTTCCAAAACAACTGTAAGGAAACTGTGCCAATACCGATCAATCTGTAAGAACCATGTAGACTTGCTTTTAGATTACTGTGTGACAGAACTGAAGCCACGAAAAGTATGAATGCAAATGAATGCTAATGAACGCTAATGAACAAAGTCTTTTCAGAAGAGCTTTATCACATAAGCAAATGGGTTTATTTGGTTTTGGTGGTGGTTTTTTTAAGGCAACTCAAATGCTTATGATAAGCTTCCCTGAAGAAGCAATGCTGACATTTAAGCAGCAGTAATTTAAGAAACTGACTTACTTTCTCTTTAAAGAGAAGGCAACTGTGCAATTATTCAAATAATGCAGACTTTTCTTTAGGAATTCTTCCTCTAAAGATTAAGTTAGAATAAATGCAAGAGGAAATATATCACTCATTTGAATTCTGTGTTCTTAAGGCAAATAACTTCTGCAATATTAATCAGCCGTAAGAGCTTCTGCTGAATAGCAGAAGAGTTCTCTTTTTTCGTATGTAGAGAGCTGACAACTGTTTACACTGAGATGTCTGAAAGACTGCAAATACTGCAGTGAGGGTATAAAGCGTATTGTACTATGGGACCCTACATGTGGGAGGTGAACCGAGATGCAAAACCAGAACTAACGCCAGGGATTTTACAAAATGCACAAGGTTGTCAGTTTTATACAATCATCTCTAAATG